AGTGGGGCTCCGGTAGGGGCTGAGCTGCAGCGCTTCCCGCTCCTGTGACCAGGTTCTGGCGGAGTCCTGTGGAGAAACGTCTGGTGCCCGGCCCGGGGGAGCTGACTGGGCGCAGCGGCTCGCCTCCAGCTGCTGCAGGCTTCTCAACGGGAAAGCGCCGGGAGGAAGGACTGACAGCCCTGGTGATGGACAGAAGGTTCTGGCCACGGGGGCAGTTGGAAGCGTGTGGTGTGGGGACCTGGGGTGAGAGGGAGGCAGCAGGAGGGAGGGTCTCCCCGTGCCCCCGGTCGTGTGTGCTGGGTAAGTTGAGGAGTCTGTTTCTCATTAAGCACAGGGGAGGCTTTCGTCAGTTACAGGAAAACCACCCACTTATCTGAAATCTGACCTACTTCGGGTTGGAGCCAGACAGGGCTCCTGCATCCCACAGGGACACTGGGGCTGTAGTGGTCCACGTCCATGCATCCAGCCAGTCTTCGGGAAGGAGCAACAACCCACTACCACTTCTGTGGTCCTCAGAGGCACTGGGGGCGGTGGCCGAGGTCACCCTCCTGGGGTGTTGTAGGTGGTGAGGTAGGCTCCACAGGGCCCAAAGTCTGAGATCCGAGGATCTTTTTTTTTTTTTTAAAGATTTTATTTATTTATTTGACAGAGAGAGACATAGAGCAGGAACACACGCAGGGGGAGTGGGAGAGGGAGAAGCAGGCTTCCCGCAGAGCAGGGAGCCTGACGTGGGGCTCGATCCCAGGACCCTGGGATCATGACCTGAGCCGAAGGCAGATGCTTAACGACTGAGCCACCCAGGCGCCCCCAGATCCCGAGGATCTTTGCTGCACCCAAGATGCTGCAGATGCAGCCCTGCCCTCCCGGCTTGCCACACCCCTGGGACTTGAGTCCCGCGTCCTCACTCAGGGGGCTTGCATCATGATGGAGCTGGAGGCGCTCTGGGCACGGAGGGTCCCAGCGTCTTCTGGAAGTGGATGGACTTGAGCCAGTTATCTGTAAGCCTCTGGCCTCCCACTTCTGTGCTCTGCAATAGCTTACACCACTTTTTTTTTTTTTTTTAAAGATTTTATTTATTTATTTGAGACAGAGAGAATGAGAGAGAGAGAGAGAACACATGAGAGGGGGGAGGGTCAGAGGGAGAAGCAGACTCCCTGCCGAGCAGGGAGCCCGATGCGGGACTCGATCCCGGGACTCCAGGATCATGACCTGAGCCGAAGGCAGTCGCTCAACCAACTGAGCCACCCAGGCGCCCCATAGCTTACACCACTTTTTTTAAAGCCACTTCTTAGTCCTACCAAAGGTGACTTTTTTTTTTTTAAAGATTTTATTTATTTGAGAGAGAGCGAGCACAAGAGGGGGGAGTGGGAGAGGGAGAAGCAGACTCCCCGCTGAGCAGGGACCCCGATGCGGGGCTCGATCCTGGGACTCCAGGGTCATGACCTGAGCTGAAGGCAGTCACTCAACCAACTGAGCCACCCAGGCGCCCAAAGGTGACATTTTACTTGGTGGATGTAGTTTCCTGGTCACCAAGAGAAATGCAGATTAGAAATGGACAGTCCTCATTTGGGAAGGCTTCCTGGAGGTAGTAGAGTTCTGATAAACAGCAAAGGGAAGACAGACCAGGATGGAGGGAAGAACGAGGAATAGGAATGATACTTGGCTAAAGCTGGAATGGCAGCACCAGCCGAGGGGAAGAGGGAGGAAGGGCAAGGGCTTTGGTCAGAATGGATCCAGGCCGCCGCCCCCCCCCCCAGGGCCCCGGGAGGCACTGGCCTGTGCCCGAAGGCGCCGGAGTGCATGGTGCAGCCTGCTCCTAGCCTTGTTGGCCTCCTCTTCCTCTGCCCAGCTTTGTTTCAGGTGGGGACAGATGTCCTATGACAGGGAGGTAGCTGAGGGCGGGGCCTCAGCTCTTGGCCCCCAATCCTCCCGCTGTGCGTGGTGCTCCAGGACAGAAGGGGTCACCCCCTGCCCGGGAGCCAGACTTCCAGGGCGCCTCCCTGAGCGTGTACTATGTGAGCTGAGGGAGCACACAGGATGAAGGGGACAGCTCGGGAAAAGTGCAGAGAGCCGACAGGTCGGCCACGGTGCTGGAGGGAAGAGCTGTGCCCCCCGCGAGCCTTCTGTAGGTCCAGACTGGGCTGAGAAACTGTCCTCTCTCAGCTCTGAGTGCCCCGAGCCCGAGAAAGTCCTGTGTGGAGGGCAGGGGGAGGGCTGGAGGGACCGTGGCAGAAGGAGCCAGCTGGGAAATGCCCTTCCCCTGTAGCACCGCGGTCCCTGGCTGGGGAGGAACCGCCTGCCGCACAAACTGCCCCAGTCCTTCTCCTGTAGGAGTTCCTCAGCTTCTCCATCCCGGCCGGGCTGCAGCGCCTCCGCCGCAGCACCCCGGCTCAGCGGACCCCCGCTGCGCCCCGCCGCAGCACCCCGGCTCAGCGGACCCTCGCAGTGCCCCTCCACAGCACTCCTGCTCAGCGGACCCCCGCAGCACCCCGGCTCAGCGGACCCTCGCAGTGCCCCGCCGCAGCACCCCGGCTCAGCGGACCCCCGCAGCACCCCTGCTCAGCGGACCCTCGCTGCGCCCCGCCGCAGCACCCCGGCTCAGCGGACCCCCGCAGCACCCCTGCTCAGCGGACCCTCGCTGCGCCCCGCCGCAGCACCCCTGCTCAGCGGACCCTCGCTGCACCCCGCCGCAGTCCCCCTGCTCAGCGGACCCCCGCAGCGCCCCACCGCAGCACCCCCGCTCAGTGGACCCTCGCTACGCCCTGCCGCAGCACCCCGGCTCAGTGGACCCCCGCAGCGGCCCGCCGCAGCACCCCTGCTCAGCGGACCCCCGCAGCGCCCCGCCGCAGCACCTCTGCTCAGCGAACCCTCGCTGCGCCCTGCCGCAGCACCCCGGCTCAGTGGACCCCCGCAGTCCCCCTGCTCAGCGGACCCTCGCTGCGTCCCGCCGCAGCACCCCTGCTCAGCGAACCCCCGCAGCGCCCCGCCGCAGCACCCCTGCTCAGCGGACCCCCGCAGCGCCCCGCCGCAGCACCCCTGCTCAGTGGACCCTCGCTACGCCCTGCCGCAGCACCCCGGCTCAGTGGACCCCCGCAGCGCCCCTGCTCAGCGGACCCTCGCTGCGTCCCGCCGCAGCACCCCTGCTCAGCGGACCCCCGCTGCGCCCCACCGCAGCACCCCGGCTCAGCGCACCCTCGCAGTGTCCTGGCTCAGTGGACCCCCGCAGCACCCCGGCTCAGCGCCCCCCCCAGCAACCCGGCTCAGCAGCCCCCCGCAGCGCCCCCCACAGCGCCCCGCCGCAGCTCGGGAATGGAGTGGGTGGGATGATGCAGGGGTCTTGGTGGGTGAGGTGAGCAGGGGAAACTTCCCCCACCCGGGTCTTGGGGGCTGGGCCTGCAGCTGGAGGCCCTGAGAGGACCGGGAGTCTTATCCTTTGGCCTGGGAGGGGCCCCTGGTACCTGGGGAGCACCGGATTGGGCTGACCCGATGTGGGCCTGACTGCTTCCAGCTCCCAGTCACCTCCCCTCTGCAGACCTCAGTTTCCTATTTGGTGGAACCCAAAAGAAAAGCAGCCACAAAGGGTCCGCCGTGCCCTGGAGCCCCAGCAGTCCTGCTTCCCTGAGTCCCTCACTGACTGTCCAGCCGCCCCGTGTGCAAGCAAGGAGGCGCTCCGTGGGGGCCAGTGGGCAGGGGAAGGGCCGCCATGCCACTAGCCAGCACCACGCCACGACAGCACCCAGGCTTCTGGCTGATGCCACCGCCCGGTTCTCCCAGCACCCCTTGGGCGAGCCAACCCCTAGCCATGAGGCGCTGCCGAGGGAGGGAGAGCTTTGCTGCCCCCCCCTTTGCTCCTTCAGAAACACCAACGGGGGTCACTAGGCATTTCTGCCCCCTCCCTGCACCGGCCCGTTGTATCCCCAGGTGTAAGGAAATGCCGTTTTCAGACCCTGACTTCCAGCTCTGACAGTAAGCCTCTTGTTCTGCCCCCTCCATCCCCGCAGGAGCGCCCCCCCAGTCTGCTCTGAGACAGCCTTCTGCTCCCCTGCCCTCCCCTCCCGTCCGACTCGCTCCCCATCTCTCCTCTTGCTCAGGAGACCTGCAGACAGAAGGGAGTGGAACCCTGACTGTTGACTCAGCAGCCGAAGCTCTCCTTCAGCCGATGAGCATGGGCTGGGAAGGCGGGGTGTGTGTGTGTGGGGGAGGCACTAGGCACGGGGGCTGGTGCCGCTGCCAGGCTGGGGGTGGCGTGGCCGCCGCCCGCACCACCTCAGCCTGGGGAGCGCCTCTTCAGGGGAGGTCTGCGGGATTTCTGTGCCTCAGCAGGTTCTGGGCCCCCTTGGCAGGAGGGGGGGCCCCGACCAGACTGTCTTGACTGGGCTCTCGTGGGACAGAGTATAAGGACTGGCTGCGCCGATGGGACCACAGGGGCACCCAGAGCCTCGAGCAGCTCCTGGGGGGCACACCGTGGCCCAGGCTCAGAGAGCCCCAGTCTGAGAGAAAAACAAGCCCCAAGGCAGATTCCTCCAGGGGGTCGAAGCCCAGAGCTTTGCCCAGGGCAGGTGGCAGGTCCTGAAGTGGGTCTGGGTAGGGAGGGGAAGAAGCCTCACAAGAGGGACAGGGGAGGAATGGGGTCCTTAACTGGGCAAGGCCAAAGCCCGAGAGGCTGGGAAGACAGATTCTCAGCCACTGCGGGAGGCCCCCCAGTCCTGTACTGGTAGGGGAGTTGGGGAAGGGGGTGCAGGGCCTACCCCTCAACCACTCTCCTCCCTGCCCCTCTTTCTTTCCTGGCGTCCCCCAGGTGATGCAGCCACCCCTCTGCCCCTGGCTACCTGCCCAGCCCAGCCAAGAGAGACTTTGCGGTTCCTTGCCTTGCAGCCCCCCAGCCCCCAGGTTTGTGACCCTTGCCCAGGTATCTCGGAACCCCCAGACCTGCTCCCCTCACTGCAGTGGCATTTCAACCCCTTACCTTCCACGATAGGAGAAAGAGAGAGAGTGTGTGAGACAGACAGAAGGAGGCTGGAATACTTGGATCCCTGTGGGGAGAGGTGGTTGGCGATGATTTATTAGCCAGACAAGAATCAACAAACAAGTTCTAACATCTGTTCTCGCCAAACCCTTCCTCAGACAACAGCAGCATTGGACCAGGGCCCAGACCCAAAGGCTCAAGAGGGCCAAGGAAATCAGACTCTGGGAGGAGAAGCCAGGGCAGTAGGAGGCAGCAGGGCTGTCCTAGCACACTTCCTCAGAGGCCCTTGGATCACTGAGCCCCCGGATTCTCGGGGACTCCCGGGACGGAACCAGTGCGTGTGTCCCTAAAAGGGAGCCGAGTCCACCTTTGCTCCTCGAACTCCAGGCTTCTTTCGGGGAGAGGGGCCAGATCTGTCCAGGAAACAGGGCTAAGCTGGGATCTGGAGGAGGGAAACGGCACCCAGACCTCCGTGCGGTGGAACTCTGGAAAGTAGCCAGATTGCCTATCTGAGGAAATCTCTGACATTTCCTGTGGAGAGGAGGATGCGGGGTAAGAGAGTGCCACACGGGAACGACGAAGCCTGGGTTCTAGTCCTTGGCTTTGGCCGAGTCACTACCCCTCTCTGGCTTTGTCTCCTTATCTGCACCGCCAGGGACTTGGCCTGGATCAGTAAGGGCATGGGAGACACTGCTCCTTTTGCCTCCCTGCCCACAGCAGACATCACTAATCAATCATGGTGCTCTTTTCTGCTGAGTGCGGAGATGACCGAGCATCCTTCCCAGAGCAGTGCTCCAGGCAGCCACGACCAATGGATGGCAGTTGGCATGCAAGATGACACCTTTGCGCTATCTTCGCAACAGGTGACGGCCGGGGTCCGTGCTAGCTCTGATTGCCTACGGTTTGTTCCACACACATTTCCTGAGAAGGGTGCCTGGTGTGCAAAGGTCTGCGGACCCGGTATCCTGGGCTATCCTCCCCCAGCTCAGACTCACCGGGTTCCTGAGGAGGCCCCAGGGGAAGCCACGCCTGTCCTTTGTCTTCTGTCCTCTGTCTAGAAAGCTTGTGAGGGAGGGTGTGCCCCCAGCTGGGCAGGGGCTGGTGGGGCATGGGAGGGCCTTGTCCAGGCACAGAGTTCTCAGAGTGTGGTTGCCGGCCACCTGAATTCTGCAGAGAAGGATGATCCGAGGTCACATCCTCTGCCCTCTGCCTCTCAGGCCTACCTGCAGCCTCAGGGGCTGTCCTCTGGTCTTAACGGAGGTTGGCCTGCACAGAGGAGGTCTAAACCGCTCTCATTCATTCAGCAACCATTTCCTGAGCACCTGCTTTGTGCCAGGGTGCTCTGGAGACAGGTGAATACGTCCCAGCCCCTGCTCTCAGGCAGCTTGCGCTCTGCTGGGGAAGAGGGGAGACAGGTCCCAGGTGATCAGTGGCGCAGCAGGTGTGTATAAAGCGCAGTGGATGGCCTCTGTGGTCGTGTTGGGAAGTCTGCAGGGAGAAGGGCAAGCTGGTCTTGAAGGATGACTAGAAGGTCACCGGGCAGTGGGAGGGTGTGCTCAGAGAGACGTGAACAGCTCTGGGAGGATGGAGCAGCTGTGGAGGTGGTCCTCTGCCTCCACTGTGGACGGCCGCGTGGGCCAGGTAGCTGTTTTAGAAAGACCATCTAGCTTCCTTGAGGCAGAGTGGGTCAGAAGTGGAAAGACTGGTGGTTAGACCAGTTAAGAAGCTCTTGGGAAATCCTGATGAGGGATGATGAGGCTGACACCAGGGAAAGGGACCCAGCAGGAATCGGGGCCTATGAGGAGTCGGGATGGGGAGGGGATGTCGAGGGAGCCCTGGGGCTTCTAGCTTGGACAGTCAGGTGGCTGGAGAGTCATCAGTCCGGCTGGGAGATAGAGGAGGGGCAGTCTGGGGAGAAGGGTGAGAGCGGGTTGCTGTGTGGAGTTCAGGAGGCCGTGGGGCGCTGGGGGCTGAGCGGGAGCCTGGAGGACAGTGGGCACGGACAGGGGTGGGCTGCTGGCTCATCTCTAGCGCTGCAGCAGGGGGTGGGGGTGGGGGTACAGGCTCAGGGGCTGAGGCAGGCCTGGGGCATCGCAGGGACGGTGGGGAAGGGCCTGCGGAGGGGGGCAGAGGCCCAGGGAGAGGGTGGGAGTGCCCGGGAGGTCCAGTGCAGCCCTGGACTGGGACACTGACTCACAGGATCAGAGGACAGGGGAGGTGGGGGGGGGGGTGGAAGTGGGAGGGGGCAGTGTGAGGAGGAGCAGGTGTGCAGGTGCCCCCTCCCCTGAGCTCATCTGAGATGACACGAGGGACTCCAAGGGCTCTTCTTCCTCAGGATGGTGGGCCTTGAAGGCGGAGGGGAGGGAGCCAGAGCGGGAGAGGCCCAAGTTCCAATCAGGAAGACAGGATGATGGTTGGAGCCAAGATGGTGGCACAGGACGGGATACAGGTGGCCGGGACTGGGTGAGAGGGACAGGGACAAAAATGCAGGCTCCCCTGGGGAGGGGGGGCGAGGCCCAGGCCTGGGCCACTATTTCCTCTGAGAAGTGGAGGGGGTTGACCAAGGGGAGGCCGGTCCCGAGACTGCAGGGAGATGACAGGGAGCCACTTCTGGGCCCGGGAAAGGGCTACTGGCGGACCGAGCCTCCGTCTTTCCCATGCGGCCTCAGACCTCTGACCCTCACCCTGACCCTGGCATCCACTCTGAACACCTTCGCTGAGCACCCCAATCTGGCTTTCAGGACCTCCTCCCAGCGGCCCGCCTGCTCCCTGCGCCGCTTTACCTGGCCTCCCGCGACGGGCCTGGACCTGCACCTGCGCAGGGCCAGGTGCCCGAGGCCGCAGGGCTGGCCCCCAGCGCCCGGCAGCACCTCCACCTCGGCGTAGACGTTGCTGGGGGCTTCCCCGGGGCTGCCCCGCCCCATGGCATAGAAGGCGATGGGTTCGTCAGGCTCCTGGTAGATGGGGTTGGAGGGCTTGGGGGGCGGGGCCGGGCGCGGCCTCGGGGCCGGGCTCGCGTAGACTTCGGGGGGCAGCTGAGGCTTGGCGGGCACGGGAGGCTTGGGCCTGGGCGGCTGGGGAGACAGGGTGAGAAGGCCAGGCCGGGGAGAAGGGGGCGTCAGAGCGACCCAGGCTGGGCGGAGGCTGCAGCCCCGGGGCCCCGCCCACGTCCCGCGGCCCCTCCCCTCCCGCAGGCCCTGCCCCAGCGCTGGACCCTCCCTTTGCCGCGCCCCCTTCCCCTCGCTCAGCCCCTGCAGCCCAATACCTCCTTCTGTTCCCCGGGCCCCTCCTTCGGCGTGGGGGTCACGTTCTGCGACTTCTTGACGGTCCGGCTATAGTGAGGGTGTGGGTCCTTGTTTCCAGAGTCTGACATTTCAGTGCTCAGGGAAAGTCCTGCAGGCTCAGGCGTCTGCTGGGAAGGAACGAGGCCTCAGGGATTTGGTGCAGTGGGATGGTGGGTGGGGTGGCCAGGGGATCCAGGAGGACAAAGCAAGCTGGTGCTGGTGGAGGATGTGTGGGGGAGGGGCACAGAAATGTGGACCTGGTGGGGCTCCCTGGGTGAGGAACAGGGGATGGAGATAGCAAGGGGACCAACGGGGGTGGTGGTGGGGGTAGTAGCTCTGGTCACAGGCTGTGTCTAGCATTGACCTTAATTCCACCCGGAACACAGGCCAGGCCAGTCTCCATTTGTGCCTGTGGTTGTAAAAATGCAACAAGGCTTGACGAGGGACCTATGGCTGGGTCGCAGGCCGGGATGAGAAGGCGGCTCCTGCGGCCGGGGTCCCAGCGTACCGGGGTCCGGGCGTACCTGGCGGACGAGGGGCTCGGTGAGCGTCTCCCCGTAGGGGCCGAGCGGGCACGCCGTGTAGTGTCGCAGCAGGTCCTGCAGCCGCGCGTGGGCGCTGTGCTCGCCCAGCACCACGTGGCGCCCGTCCCGGAGCTGGGCCAGCAGGAAGTGGCGGCAGCGAGTCCGGCTCCTGGAGGACGCCCGTCGCATCAGAGCCGCACGCCGTGCCAGGCCCTCCCTCGCAGCCGGCCCCTGCCCCTCCCGCGTCAGGAGCACCCAGCCCACTTCGCCCCGGGGCCGAAGCTCCGCCTCCGGGCTCCCGCCCCTCACCTGTAGGTCAGCACGAAGGTCACAGCGCTCTCGCTGAACCGCACCAAGTAGCATCCCTCAGGCTTGGGCTCCAGCAGCCTCTCGGCCTCCCTGTGGGCGATGGAGAAGACTCTTCCAGCCTCGGGCCTGTCCCCGGCTCTCCGGCGGACCCCAGCCCCCAACCAAGCAGGTTCAGGTGTCGGAGGAGGGTGGGGATGGCAGAGAGAATGTGGGTCCAGTCTGCGCAGGGACTGGAGAGCACGGGGCCAGGGGTCCCACCCAGGAGAGCTCCCAGCCCTGCATCCTCCTGTGGCCTCATCCTGGAGGGCAGCCTGGTGGGGGTACCCTGGGGTGGTAACTGACTACAGGCTGGGGAAGAGGAAAGCAAAGCTGAGAGATGTGGCGGGAGGGACGGCCTAGCAGGGAGACAAGGAAGGTGGTAGACCGGAGAAACCATGAGGACTGGAGGCCAAGAGACAGGAATGGAAGCGGAGGCCCCAGAGCGAGCGGGCTGCAGCCTCTGCACGGACCTCCCCCAGGACAGATGCCTCAGAGATTGGCCTGGGAGCCTCCAGGACTCAGGGCTGGACTTGCAGCCTGCACGCACTGCTGCTGGGCCCAGGACCCAGGACTTGCCCAGCCCGTCTCTGGGCCCCCCTTTCTGCCGCTGTGACTCACCTCCGGGTGATGAAGCCATGGAACCAGGCAGGGGCTGCCCCATGCTGCAGAAGCCAGTGGGCCTGGGTCTTCTGGAACCAAGCCCGGGTCTCGGCCTGCAGGGACTGGCCTCCTTCCTCAAGCCCCTCCTCGGCCTTCCCAGCATCCTCTGGGCCGGAGGCAGCCCCTGGGAGTTGAGGAGATGCCTGGAACAGGGGAAAAGTTCAAGGAGGGGGAAATAACCATGATTCATGGGCTTCCTCCTGATGCCATCCCACTGCCGCCTCCTCAGCCTCACCCCTGCTCCCCATCCCAGTTGCCCATTTTAGGCCATAACTGCCCAGAAAGTGCCTCTCAGGGTCCAGCTTAAATCCCCTTCTTCAGCTCCACCTGCTTTGGTTTCTAGGGGATTTCTGTCCACTTCTCTCTGGGCCTGAGGGCCTTTTTAACCCAGGAGCAGTAAGCTCCTAACCTGAGCTTCAATGAGTGTGAGGCCTTCCAGAAAGAGAGGAAATCATTCCCTGGCCTGCAGGACGAGGGACATGATGCTGCCTGTCACCCCAGAGGACAGAACGAGGGAGGACTCACCCTCCCGTAGGAGGGGCTGGGCTGGATCCTAGGGAGGACTTCCTAATGGACTGCTGGGTGAGAGGGACTGAGGCCTGGATGCACTGGGCAGGTGGAGGCCACGGACAGAGATGCAGATGCCTGCTTCTGGGACTCGGTACCCTGTACCCTGGTCACCTGTGGACTCAGCCCCAGCGTCCCAGGGACAGTGAGGGGACACTATAGTGAAGGAAGGAGATACTCCCCATCTCCTTTCCCTCTCTCCATCCATGCCCTAGCCCTGTTGGCAGCCCCAGATTATTCCTGCTTTCTCCCCGTTGGCCTTGGTCCATCTGCACGTCCTCACCGGTGGGGGGATGGGAGCCGAGGAGGACGCTGTGCCAGCCGAGTTCCCACCTGCCGCAGCATGGACAACTTCGACCCTGGGGCTGGGCTGGGCCTCCTCAGCCTTCAGGGCCTGGAGTCTGGGCCCCTGAAGCAGGCCCACGTCCTGGCAGGTCCTGCAGGGTAGTTCCACGGGCTGGAAGGTGCTGAAGGTAGGGGCAGGGGCTCGGCCGCTTCCTATTAGCACAAAGAGGACAGCTGGGGTTTCTCGGGGAGGGACTGCCCCTCCTCCAGGCTCCCAGGGGCCCCGCATGCCTCTGACCAGGGACCTGGAGGACAGGGATAGTCACAAGAGGAGAAATGCAGGTGGGACCCCAGGGCGTCTCTCACGGGGGAGGAGTAAGGAGTTGAGGAGGCCCTGGCTGGCCAGGGAGACAGGGTGTGGGGGAGCAGAGAGTCCCACAGCGAGGGGTGTGGAGTGGGGTGGTGGTGGCGTGATCTCTCTTTATGGCCAAGATCCTCTGCCTCCCAGGCCTTGTTCTCCTGCTCCTTCCTCTCTAAGGAGCACTCTGCAGACCCAGCCGCCTGTGTCCCACATATGTCCCCGGGGCTGAGTGGACTGGCGCCCCAGAGAAGGAGAAGGAGCTCTGGGCACCCCGCCAGTCAGCTCTGCCAGCCCTGGCTCGGGGTGGGGCCCTTCACCCCTGAAGTGGGACAGCAGGGGTAATGGGGGTCTGGATGTCCCTCCACCCACAGTCTCCAACCTCACACTTACCTTGGGGGCGTATCTGGGCCAGGGGGAGCTCCATGGGCCGGCCTGAGAACAGAGCCCCAGAGCAGGGGGTGTGTAAGGGTGTGGGTACGTGCTCTGAAAAGATGTGCACACTCAGCAACTCATCTCTCTCCCCCCGGCCCCCAAGGGCAGGAAATGTCGCCTTCCCCACAGCCCTAGCCCTGGCCGAGGACCCACGTCATGGAAAGCCGTAAGACACTTATCCCTCCCCCGGAAGCCAGGCAGCTGAAGGTGGTGGTGGTGCGGTGGTGGGTATTTGTATCATTCTGTGTCTGGGTTTTGGGAAGTCCTAACTGCCCTCTGACCTCGATCCCTCCTGTTTCTCCCTCCACTCCCTCGCTCCAGACCGGGACTCCCTTTTCTCTCTCTGCCTCCCTCCCTGTCTCTCCCTCAGCTTCAGTTCAGAGCAGTAGCAATGGGGATGTCAAACTCAAAAGGATAAGCCCTAGTATGGTGCCTGGGCTTCGGGCTCCTGGGAGATTCCTACGCAGGATTATGCTCTTAGGACACATGAGGAGTGAAGGGGGCAGGGCTGCAACAGGAAGGATGTGGGGCAGACCTCATCCTTCACCTTCCAGCAGATAATGAAGCTGGGTTAGGGCAAAACCCAGCAATCCTGGGGGAGGGAGGGACCGTTCTGGGGGAAGCAGGTGGTGATCAGAAGCAACATTATTAGCAGTTATTGGAACATCGATGCTGACTTTTTTTTTTTTAAGATTTTATTTATTTATTCATGAGAGACAGAGAGAGAGAGAGGCAGAGGGAGAAGCAGGCTCCTGCGGAGCAGGGAGCCCGATGCGAGACTCGATCCCAGGACCCTGGGACGGTGACCTGAGCCGCAGGCAGACGCCCAACCATCTGAGCCACCCCGGCGCCCGATGCTGACTTCTTAAAGTAACAGTGTGCTTATACCTCCTGCCACACCAGAGACCAGTCCCATTGCTCTCATTTGATGCTCGCCAATGAAGGACAGGGAACATTACCCCCATTTCCCAGAAGGGTACACTGAAGCTCAGAGAAGTTAAGTGCTGTGGCCACGTGTTTCAGTGTCTCAGAAGTTGGGATTAGAAACTAGATCTTCCTTTACTAATTTCACCGTGATTTAAGCCAACAATCCAGGACTAAGTGCCAGGCACTGTTCCTGGTGCCAAGAACCCAGAGAGCAAAAGGATCTTGCTTCAAGATGCGGGGGGGCGGGGGGGTAGCTGTGCCTGCCAACAGATCTTGCTTGTGAGACACAGTGGTGCGGCTGGCGCTGTGGGAGCCGGGCTGGCCTGGCGTGCATGTGTGCATGGGGCGTTGGGACGTCAGAGGGGGAGACTGTGCGGAGTTGTGGCGGGCGAGCAGCGTGGAAGAAGGCGGACAAAGGTGTTTCTAGAAGAGGCAGCAGCGTGGCAAATGTGTGTAAGAAGGAACCGGCAGCTGCAGGGGAATGCGGGGCTGGGGCCGGGCTGGCTTAGGGGCTGCAGCAGTGGTCCCCGCAGCTGGGTTATCTGCTGCCCTGGGCCCAGGAAGGAGTCTGGACACCTGGCTTGCAGCCCGAAGAGCCACCTGCCCACCAGCCCCGGGCAGGGGAGCGCTTTCCCCACTGTCACCACCCACACGCCGGGGCCTTACCTCCCCACAGCTGCCCGCTCCCTCTTCCTGAAACACTGTCGCCTTAACCTGGCCCCCGCCCCCAGGGGTTGGCGACAAGACCGAGAGGTGCCCTCGACATCCTCCCCAAACACCTCGCTGTACCGTGACGGCCCGTCGGACGCCGGGCCTCTGTGGCTGGTGCTCCGTGGCCGGTCCTGCTCGCCCGGCCGGCTTCCGGAAGCCCTACAGCAGAAGCAGTTTCCACCTTTCAAATGGAATCACCCCCACGCTCTTGGTCTGGAGGCCTGGCCCAGACCCACAGCCCCAGCAGCTGGAGCCTCGTGTGTGGGCCTCGACCTCTGTTGGATGGGGGGTGTGGGGAGAGCCTTAGTCTCTCTGAGGCTGTGACCATCCCCTCTGCCTCGTGCCGGGCTTCAGCCTGGGCAATCGCTCCATCCCTCCAAGCTTCAGGTGCCCCTCTGGAAAATGGGGCAAGAACACCTCTTGGCATTCCAGCACTAGGTGGGTGCCGAGCCAGCAGAGGGTCTGTCCGACGAAGAGGAGGGCTCAGGTGCGGTCCCTTCTTTGCTGCCGGCTCCCGGCTCTGTGAGGGGCACTGTTCCCTCACGGCTGGGGCGAGGTCCACACTGCAGGTCTCCCCTCTGGCTGGGCTTGTGGAGGCCGGGGTCGGGGGCCCCTCAGCCCTGCACACTGCTGGGCAGGGATCAGGTGCGTGCTTGACGGTTTGTGTGACCCCCCCCCCCCCCCGCCCCAGCCCAGGATGCTTTCCCTGAGGCCCCACATGTATTACTCTGAGCTGCCATAATGAAATATCACAGATTGGGGGGGGGGCATCAACAGCAGAAATTTGTTTTCTCACTGTTCTGGAGTCTGGAATTCCAAGGTCAAGGTGTCAGCAGGGTTGGTTTCTGGTGAGAACTCTCGTCTTGGTTTGCAGATGGGTGCCTTCTTGCTGTGTCCTCGCACGGCCCTTCCTCTGTGCTCGTGCAGCGCGGGCTGGGGGATATCCCAGGTGTCCCTTCCTCTTCTTACAAGGACTCCCGTCCTAGCCAATCAGGACCCCACCCTTATGACCCCATTTAACCTTAATTACTTTTTTTTTTTTAAGATTTTACTTGTCAGAGTGAGAGAGAGAGAGAGAGAGAGCACAAGCAGGGGGAGCGGCAGACAAAGGGAGAAGCAGGCTCCCCATGGAGCAAGGACCTTGATTCAAGACTCGATCCCAGGACCCTGGGATCATGACCTGATGGAAGGCAGATGCTCAACCGACTGAGCCACCCAAGTGTCCCACCTTAATTACTTCTTTAAAGACCCTATCTCTCCATACAGTAACATTGGGGGTTAGGTCTTTTTTTTTTTTTTTTTTAAAGATTTTATTTATTTATTTGACAGAAAGAAACACAGCAAGAGGGGAACACAAGCAGGGGGAGGGGGAGAGGGAGAAGCAGGCTTCCCGCGGAGCAGGGAGCCCGATGCGGGGCTCGATCCCAGGACCCTGAGATCATGACCTGAGCCGAAGGCAGACGCTTAACGACTGAGCCACCCAGGCGTCCCGGGGGTTAGGTCTTTAACGAATGAGTTTTGAGGGGACATGATACAGTCCACACACCAAATTTCAAAGCCCGTCCTCTCCCCTCAAGGAGCTTGCATCATAAGGTAGGCAGGACCAAGGAAGAGACTTGGCAATTCAAAGCAGTCATGCCCAGAGCCATGTGCATCCTCCAGGACCTCAGGGGAGAGAGCTGTCTTCTGATGGGGGTGACAGGGGGTGGAGGCTAAGAGGGGGGTGCAGTTTAGGGGGCATCCAGGTTGGGCCGTGATGAGAAATCATGGGTGAATGTCCGTACTACCCAAAGCAATCTATAGATTCAATGCAGTCCCTATCAAAATTCCAATGGCACTTTTCACAGAAATAGAACAGACAATTCTAAAATGTGTATGTAATCCCAAAGACTCAGAATAGCCAAAACGATCTTGAGAAAGAACAAAGCTGCAGGCATCGGGCTTCCTGATTTAAACGATATCACAAAACTATAGTAATCAAAGCAGAACGGCACTGGTATGAACCAGACACACATCAATGGGACAGAAGAGAGAGCCCGGAAATAACCCAAGCACTACGGTCAATCAATTTATGACCAAGGAGCCAAGAATACACATGGGGGAAGGGTGGTCTCGTCAATAGACGATGTTGGAAAAACTGGACAGCCACATGCAAAAGAATGAGACCGGACCCCAATCTCATACCACAAACAAAAATTAACCCAGGACGGATTAAAAAGGAGTGCCTGGGTGGCTAGTCGGTTAAGTGTCTGACTTTGGCTCAGGTCATGATCTTGGGGTCCTGAGATGGAACCCCGTGTCAGCCTCCCTGCTTAGCGGGGAGTCTGCTTCTCCCTCTCCCTCTGCAGCTCCCCCTGCTTGTGCTCTCTCTCTCTCAAATAAATAAAATCTTTAAAAAAAAATGGATTAAAGACCTGAGATTAAAAGCATAGGACATCAGTCTTGGTGATGACTCTATGGGTTTCACACCCAAAACAAAGGCAACAACAGCGAAAGCGAACAAGTGGGACCCCATCACACTAACAAGCTTCTGTAGAACAGGAAACCACCAACAAAATGAAAAGGCAACCTACTGAATGGGAGAAAATATTTGCAAATCGTGTCTCCAGTAAGGGATTAAGATCCCAAATATATGAAGAACTCATAAAACTCCATAGCAAAAAGCCAAACAATGTGATTCAAAAATGGGCAGAGGATCTGGATGGACATTTTCCCAAAGAAGACAAACAGTTGGCCAGCAGGCACACGGAAGGGGCTCTGCCTCACTAAGCATCAGGGAAATGCAAATCAAAACCGCTGGCCCCGCACGCAAGGAGGAGGAGGCTGGCTCTGCGGATGTCCAGCGTCAGGCCTCCTGCTCCACCGTGGACTTGGGCAGTGGACTTCCCACTTGACAAAGGCGTTCATCTGAGGCTCGAAGTAAGCTATCAGTGACTTGCTGGAGCAGACTAGTACGTTTAGTTAACATTCAGTTCGGGTCTAGCTCCAGAGGCCGTGTTCCCTCTCTGCCTCTCTGCCCTTAGCTGCTTTGTCCCAAAGTCATCCAGCGGCTGATTGAAAATCTATTGAAAATCTGTTCTGTGCTGGAGCACGTGAGAGTTTTAAGGGCTACACAACCCAGGTAATTCGGAATGATAGAAATTAACTAGGGCGCCTGGGTGGCTCGGTCATTAAGCGTCTGCCTTCAGCTCAGGTCATGATCCCAGGGTCCTGGGATCGAGTCCCACATCGGGCTCCGTGCTCAGCGGGAAGCCTGCTTCTCCCTCTCCCACTCCCCCTGCTTGTGTTCCCTCTCTCGCTGTCTCTCTCCCTCTGTTGAAAAATAAATAAAATCTTAAAAAAAAAAAAAAAGGAATTAACTAGAAGCCGGGGTGGGTGGGGTGTGGGCCACTCTGCCTGGAGCCAGGTTGCACGAGGCCAAGAAAGCCTTCAGAGAAGAG